AGCTGCAGGAGTTGAGTAAAGGACAATAAAAAAGGCACTGGTAGAAGCCAAAGTCCAGGGACTGGCACAAACTAGAGTGGACTGGCCTGGACTCCCCAAGTCATAGGTTGGGTAATCAGTTATCACATTTCAAGGAAAAGTTCCCAAGTGCTGCTTTGAGCCTTAATACAGCAAAACCTTATGAAGCTTGACATGACTAAGCCTGACTAAGCCTGTGCATTCAACTCTTGAATTATGGGGTCAGTTGGCACTTTAAGAGTAATGGTCATTGCCTGAAAGTTCAAGTCTGTGTCTCTATAACATATGGTAAATGCTAGGAATGTTGAATGTCAGTTTTAAATCCTGACTGTAAAATAAGTAAATTATATCTTTACTTTTATCCATAATTCTCAAAGGGCCTCTTTATCTAGCAGTCTCCAAGGTGTTTCTGTTATAAAAGGCTTTTACAAGTTATTCAAAGAGCTTAGGGAGAAATTCCTGCTCCTTGTGAGTGGCTGCACGTGGCGGTTCCCCAGGCTGGGATGCTGCATGTCCTTGGTGTCTGGAAGAATCCCAACTGGAGAGACAGGGACTGAGCTGTGTTGTAAGTGAGAGCTGGCTTGTGTAAAGGAGCATTGTTTGAGGACAGCAGCAGTAACTATTTTTCTGTGGTTATTAATCAATCCAACAGTGCATGGTGATTTGATTTGTAAACAATATATGAACTATGAGTCTCTGAGGATCATTTTTCAAGATGTATTTGTGCCTAACACTTCACATGATAAGAAAATGGACCTGAACAAGTGTCATACATTTTTTCAGTTGAAGGTGTTTTAATTCAGTAAAAATTAACAAACTTGTTAAATGCTTAAATTAAAATGTAACCATTTAGACCAATTAAAATGTAACCACTGTTTGTCTTTGCTTAATCAGTCTAAAGACACCTGATTTCAGGCCATAGTCAGAAAATATGCTGGAAGTTGGAATTAGTGTTTTCCGACACATGTACTCGCAGGACTGGCTCTGAAGCTCATGAAGACAAGTAGATGTGTATCATTTCTGAACAGCCATGTTTCATACTGTCAGGTGCAGAGGGCCTCCATTCTTCCAGGGCTCTGGGGAAGGCACAAAATACTGACTCATCAGAGTAGCCACAAAGGTGGCCAAGGTGAGGACCTCTAGATGTTGAAAGACTTCTAGTTTTAACCAATTCTTCTCTGACCTGTATGTGCTAGCAATGTGTACCAGGCCTCTCCCTCTGCCCAGGCAGTCTCTTCAGTCCATCTCCTGCTTCGTAGCCTGCATCTTCTCTACTGCCTTGTCTTCTTTGCTTCTCTTCCGTCTCCTGTCCTTTCTCTGATCCTCACCAAAGGAATGACAGAATATTTTGATACCATCACGATGGTACCAGCATTTTTTGCCTTGACTGTGTGTCTTACTCTTTCCATCTGCCCCTCACTGCTCCCTCCAAACTATAGAAATTAAAAGTATCTGCAGATCCCAGCTCCATGGAGTCCTGCTCTTGATTGTCTTGTCTCAAAATCCTGTGTATTTCAAAATCTCAGTGTTGTCCAAGAGCAGAGATACCTGCTCTTGCCCTTGTCTGTATATGAATGACTTCTAAAATAGCACCAACCACAAATGAACAAAAGTTTCATTTGATTTTTTCTATTTTAGAAACCTTAGGTAAGGAAAGACACCAAACTGTGTGGTGTGGTTGACATGCTGGAGGGAAGGGATACCATCCAGAGGGACCTAGACAGGCTTGAGATGTGGCCCATGAGAACCTCATGAAGTTCAACAACACCAAGTGCAAGGTCCTGCACGTGGGTCGGCGTGATCCCAAGCACAAATACAGGCTGGGTGGAGGATAGCTTGAGAGCAGCCCTGAGAAGGACTTGGGGGTGTTGGTTGATGAGAAGCTCAACATGAGCCAGCAATGGGCACTTGCAGCCCAGAAAGCCAACCGCATCCTGGGCTGCATCAAAAGAAACATGGCTAGCAGGTCGAGGGAGGTGATTCTGTCCCTCTATTCTGCTCTGGTCAGATGCCACCTGGAGCACTACATCCAGCTCTGCAGCCTCCAACATAAGAAGGACAGGGACCTGTTGGAGCGAGTCTAGCAGAGGCCATGAAGATGATCAGAGGGCTGGAGCACCTCTCCTGTGAAGACAGGCTGAGAGAGTTGGGGTTGTTTAGCCTGGAGAAGAGAAGGCTGTGAGGAGACCTTATTGTGGCCTTCCGGTACCTAAAGGGGCCCTACAGGAAAGATGAGGAGGGACTCTTTATCAGGGAGTGTAGTGATGGGATGAGGGGTAATGGTTTTAAACTGTAAGAGGGTAGGATTTAGGATAGATATTAGGAAGAAATTCTTTACTGTGAGGGTGGTGAGGCACTGGAACAGGTTGCCCAGAGAAATTGTGGCTGCCCCATCCCTGGAAGTGTTCAAGGCCAGGTTGGATGGGGCTTTGAGTAACCTGGTCTAGTGGAAGGTGTCCCTGCCCATGGCAGGGGGGGTTGGAACTAGATGATCTTTATGGTCCCTTCCAACCCAAACCATTCTATGATTCTGTGATTCTATGATTCTATGAAAGATAGTTCTTGCATAGACTCCTCTTCTGAGAAATAGATCTGCTGCTCCACTTACGCCCAGCATGACAGTAACATGCTCCAGAAATTTTACAGCCTTGTTATTCAAAAATGCTGTATTTTTAAAAAATATAGTTAAAACATACACTGAAAGAAACTTTAACTCCTTATTTTGAAAATGTATGTGTTCTTTGCTGCAACCATCAGCATTGCTGTGACATTCATAAAAACAAAGCCAAAAGAAAAGAGATGGCTTGATTATGATTTTGAGAAGAAACTGGAAGAAACTTCACAAAGGAACTTCACCAGTCAATCCAATGCCTGTGAAAGGCAATACTAAATGAGGAGTGTTGCCCTGTTCTGTACCAGGTTAGCTAAAGAGAATCAGTATCACATCTGGGTCTTTTCCAATATGATCTATGGAGACAACCAAGATCATGCTGCAGAAAATGTTCTGCTGTAATCTAAATCTCCACATCCAAAATAAGCTGCTGCTGTAAGAACTCCTCACCACATTCTAACCTTAGCAGAGCACAGGTGTAAAACCCTACAAGATGCACCAGCAGTGTCTGTGAGAGCAGTACAAACCGGACTAGAGAATTACTTGTGCTTTACAGCATAAGACTGGAAGACAACAAACGAGCCATGAAGAAAACCAGTCCAGAATAAATAGTTTGCAAAACAATGCCCAAAAGACAGTTGTATAATAAGCCACTTAGCAAGTACTAGAAGCTTTCTTCCTAATCCATCTGTCACATGTTTTTATAGCTGAAAATAATTAACTGCTCACTATTGCTCAACAAGTAGGGGTCTATTTGAAATCACTTAATAACAGAAACAACGGGAGCACCAAGACAAGGTACTGAGAATTTCATCTGGTGTCTGAAAACAGAACTTAATCGTATTAATTTCTGTGTCAGAGAGACCAAATTCAGAGGCAAAGAAAGAAAGGCTTCTGAGATGGAAGTTACTGTTTGGATGGAGGAGAAATATAGAAGAAATTCAGAAGAAATTTGCTAAAGCATTGCATGGTGTTGTTTGATGATAAGAGAATAAGGCATCATTCAGTCACTCTCTAATATGGATTCTAAGATACGTATGTGTTACTGCTTCACACTAAAAACTGAAAACAGATTATTAGACTTTTGTTGGCATTTCTCAGTTCAAGTATATCTTTTCAAGGCACATCTAAGAACATAAGAGTAATATATTGTCCCTAACCCTACCTCTCTCTCAGTGTGCCTGCAGGAGAATATAGCCACTGCTGAATTTTCCCCAGATACCATACTCCTTTCTTTTGCTACAACACGGTGGATTTGATCTCTTCGGGGCCTTTATAAAAAACTGCATGGGTCTGAGCTTTGAAGTTCCGTTTCTTGAACTCCTCTGAGATTTCCAGGAAGGACTTTCCCTTTGTCTCAGGAAGGAAAAACCCAACGTAGAGAGCAGTGCAGATGCAGACCACAAGGAATGGGATGTAGCAGAAATGTGCTAGACTTTTCTGAGGAGGAAAAAAACAAGACAGCATTGGTGACATTCTGTATGATGACAAACAGGCCACTAATCCCTGTTCCTGCATGGACTAACTTCACCCAGGGAGTATTTCTGTGAGCCCTGGTGAGGGCTGCACATGCCTGGATGCAACAGCTCCCCGGCATAGTTTGGGAGATTTGACATAACAAGAAGAGTATCTCAAAATGTCCTTTTGTGTCCTTCTCACTCTATATAATTCTATAGAATAGGGACCCACAGCAGGAAATAAGACAGGATTGGATATTGTGGAGTTCTGCTCCTTTTTGCTTCAGGAATCACCTTAGGGAATGGTGCTAGAGTCTGGCCAAGGGGAATTGCATCACATCTCTAGTCCCACCTGTTCTCAGCTGAGGACAGAGGATGAATATCGATCATCCATGCCCCAAATTAATCTGCTTCCGGCCTCACATTGGAAATTGCCATAGGGAACACGGAGAAAGTTTGGTTTAGAGGAGTTCTGGTCACTTTCCTCATAATGATACTTTCCACGTCAGGGCTATCTTGCTGTCTGTCTGCAGCTTGCAATATTCCAGGCCCTGCCTCTTTTCATGGTCACTATCAGAGCCTCTTTCTTGCACTGAAGAGGTGCGTGTGATTGCTTTGCCTTGGGAACCCACCACAATGAATGGAAAGGCTGTTCCGACCAGAAATAGGTTGAACCAGAGCAGAGAGCCACAGATCATGTAAGCAGCTGGCCGGGACATTTGATCAAAAACCTCTGTGGGCAGAACTCCTGTTACACCAGCTGCAAAAAGAAATTGTAAGAAAGTTAATAATACTGTTGATACTATATTAAAAACAAGAGAACACATACTAGCAAGCAAAACCAACATGAAGTATATGAGAACAGTAAATTATTATTCAGTAAATTATTCTCACTAGACAATAATGCCAGAACAAGTGGTAATAGAGATTAACTGCACTGGGGAAGTTTTATGTTAAATATTAAGGACTGGCTAATTATTCAAAGTCTCTCATCTTAGAATGAACTGCTGGGAAAGGTTTGGTAATCCACATTACTCTTACTAGGATCTGACTGTGAGAATGGCTTATTATTAATTCAACCCTATGACACTGTAGGGACTGGGACAAGAAATTACTGCCAACTCATGTGGCATGTGACACTGGCAGCTTGGTTCTCTTCTTCCCTGCCTTCCTTCAAACTCATGTAAGCAAACAGAGCCTCAGATCTACTCACACACCAACCAATATCTGCACACACACAGCCTGTGTACTGCCCCCGCAACCACAGAAACTAATGCGTTCTGCCAAGAAAATGCATGTTAGTAAGCTAACAAGTAGATGTGAAAATTGTGCTTCCAGGTATCTGCAAGTAAATAATCAGATGATGTATCCATCAATCTGTAGTATTAAAGTGAAGCATTAGAAATGCTGGTGTACAGCCCTACTGGATTGGGCAGCAAATGAAAACCTTGTTGTCCATTTAAGACAAGAATCACCTCAAGTGCTATCACAAGGTGGTTGTAAGGAGAAGCGACACAGAGAATGGCACAGGCTGTCCCTGCACAACACAGACTTACCAGGGGCGTGCAAGCCCCCGTGAAACAGCTGGAAATTGCTGGCAGAAATCGCCTCATTGCTTTGAGTGTGCTGTGGCTAAAGAGGGTCTGAGAGTTTCCATAAGATGCTTGCACATATCTCCAAGCCCCTGCAGCACCCAAAATTTTCAGTGAAAACACTCACGGAACTGACCTGGTCCGATTCCAAAGCTCAGGATATAGGCGAAAATGCAGGCCATGCTGAGATAAGGCATCCAGCTAATCTGAGTCTACAGTCGCAAAGAGCAATGGAAAAACAGTGAGGGCACTTACACTTATTTGCCACCACTAAACAACCCAGTCATATAAAAGGCAAAGCCCAACTCCATTCTGCTTAAATAATCAAATAAAACTTGTTACCTGCTGGCTCAGAGCGACCATGAAGACAATGGCCCATCCTGCCATGAAGATATATCCCCCCAGGAGCAGTGGCCTCCGACCAGCATAGTCTATAATCATGTTCTGCACAAGGTAACACAGTGAAATAAAGCAAGATCTTTAACTTGTGTTTATACTTCCCACCTGCTCCCTCTTCCCATTTCAATACTCTGTGCCTAACTCACTTGACAGCTACTTTAAGGATGCTGTCCACTTCTCAGCAAAAAAAAAAAAAAAAAAAGAAAGTAATTCAAAGGAAAGGGTCTGCTGGCAGAAGTGAGGCAAGAAGCATGCTCAGGGGAGATGAGAATGTCGCAGCTGCAGCCTAAACCTTGCCACTACCCATACTGACACAAAGCAAGAGTTACACTTTTTAGTTTTCAGACAGTGATGACGATGCAGTGTCTGCGAAATACTTCTGCATTAACCATGCTGGACATGAGTGCTAAGAGATAGCCTGGCTGCTGGGCATAAAGGGGTTGCTTGGCACAAAAGGCAATGTAAATCCCAAATTTGTAATTAACAGCCTCCTCACTGTCTACAGTCTGCATGTTAGCAGAGTTCATTAAGAGCCTCACACAGGTGACAGACGTGATCAGTTCACAGCTCCCCGTGCCAATTACAACATACGGGATTTTGTCCTGAGGAATTCCAGCCTCTTGGAACACATAAGCTGCATAAAAATACATCTGGGGAGAGAAGAGAGGAGAAAGCAGTAAGGGAAAACATGTGAAAATACATCCCATTGTTTTTCCTGAAGGACCACACAGAGAACGACTGATGTGCTGTCATACAGCCAATTTTGACAGCATCCCGCTAAATCTTGCCATAATGCATAGGTGTAATTTGGGAACCAAGCATCTGAGGTTTGAAGATCTCCACAGGCAGAGCAGACCTCTTCTCCTGCAGCAGAAATGTTAAACCCGAGATCTTGCACCTGTGTCTTGTGGCACAGCGCTGCCGCTGATTGCTGTGGCTGCCAGGCTGCTTACCGAATCATTCCCGCAGAGCTGCATGGCACTGCTCAGCACAATGATACTCATCAGCTGCCACCTCAAAGCTGGATTTTTGAAGAGCTCCCAAGGGTTCTTCGCTCTCTGACCTTTAACGGCAGCTTGTTCAGCCAGCATCTCTTCCAGCTCTGCACTAAGGTCACTGTTGCCTCTGAGCTTCTGCAGTGCTGCAAGGACAAGGGAACTTCTTATCCCCTGAACTTTACCTTCAGTTTGCCTGCTCTGCAGGGTAAAGGATCGAGCAGCAAGTGATGGCTGCAGAAAGCTGTAGGACAGACTCTGTGATCATGGTGTTACCTTCACAGAGATGGCCAGTTGTGGTGCAGCCACTTGAAGGATTTGCGGGAAAGGGAGTGCAAATCCCTCACCATTGTTTGGCAAGAGAATATTTCCAACCTGTGCCATTTCAGCAGCCATACTTCTGACTCAGATCTCAAGTGACTTCCCTGGGAAATGCAGGCAATTAAGATGTTCTGGGTACACAGTACACATTTCCCAGAAACTAATTCCAGACGCTCTGTATACGGGGATTTGTATGCTACAAATCTAAGCAAATCCCTTAATATGAATTGGCTTCAGATTTGGTCATGAGCTCTTCAACCAGAATTTGTTTCACTTCGTAGTTACAAAACATATTCACCGTTGTGAACACAGTCCCACTTTTTGACCCTACCATTCTAGCAAAAAAGTCTTTTGTAGGAAGATGTCTTTCAATTACCTCAATAGATCAAAAATATTTAAGATTATAGAATGTTCTTTGGTTTGGAAGGAGAAAGTGATCATATTTGGAACTTGATATGACAGTTCCTACATGTAAAAGTTGTGGCACCATTCTCAAAAGGTCAGGGCCCAAGCCTGTGCACAAAAGCAGGATGCAAAAAAGCGTACATTCATCTGCATTCAGAATTACTGTGGTTATTCAGACAAATACATACCCAACCACTGCCTGGCCACTGTTTAAGGGTGCAGCAGCTAATGCAATTACAAACATTGATGGCACCACATATTTTGTACAGACCAAATACGGTCCTCTGGTTTAGAAAATCATTATCCATGGGACTAGTGACACAGCCACAGTATTTGGCTTAAAGCTTTTATGTTCATCTAAGGAAGCTGGCAGAGTCACCAAACAGAACAACCTGCTGTAGGTGACCCTGCTCTGGCAGGGGGGTTGGACTAGATGATCTCCAGAGGTCCCTTCCAACCCTAACCATTCTGTGATTCTGTGATTCTGTAATACTTGTGTTGCAAAGAAGTCTGCTTTGGATTGAACACACTGGACTGGATGTTAAGAATATGCATCAACCTTCTCTCTGTTTATCTGCCCAGACAGTAGATCTCACATGCTCAGTGAGAGGTGGACAGTCACCCTAAACTCACCAGAGATGCAGGATTCTTTATCTCCACGGTCAATCAAGAGGTATCTGGGACTTTCAGGGAACCAAGGCAGAGCTGTGAGCTGGATCAGGGCAGGCACCACATTGCTAGCTAAAAGGAACGGCCAGCTCTCCTCCCCTCCTAGTAGCTCCCTAGAGAAAAAAACCAAAACATAATTTGCTGAGTACATTTTACAACATGGCAAGAGCCCAGCAACCTCTGCTGCATGTGGGCACTGGAAAAGAAAGAAAAGAGAGGGGTAGTAAAGGTAAAAAAAAAAAGGTAAAAAAAAGGAGAAGAAAGATTTAATAAGTATAAACTGGGCTTCTTGCTCTACATTACCTGAGTCCAACAACCTGCCCCAGCACCAACCCCAGGGCTGTAAACGATGCAGAGGTCAAGGCCACAGCTCCTCTGAGCTTCTTCGGGGCACTTTCCGCCAGATACATGGGCTGAATGTTCATGCTTACACCTGGGCAAGGCAGACGAATGCTGACCTCAGTTTGTAGACAGAGCAGATGAGGACAAATGCAGTCAGCCACCTCTTGAGGTTGCCAGCTGGACTCTTCTGCTGCAGGCCATGTGATGACTGATCTACCAGTGGTTATTATTTACCTAAACCTTCAATTTCACTCTTATTCATTGTATAAGCTACTAAACTTACATTTCCATACTCATAAGTAGCAGTAGATAATGAAACTGAAACCTGCTGGGGCCTCAGTCCTGTGGTCTTTTCAGTACCAAATCCAAAGCTGTAAGTGATGCTTCCCTCTAGTCCCCCATTTTGGGGGGAAGATCATATTTTAAATCACTGGTATCAATCATTATTTCCTTGGATGAACTTCTATAAAATGTTGGTGCTTATGCTGGTGAGTGACTGATAACATTCTTACAAGCAGATAGGGATTGATTTTCAGCTCAGTTTCTCCAAGGGCTCCCCTCCCTGTGTGCAGAGTGCACACAGATACTCTCATGTATATTAGACAAAAACCCCTGCCTGCGCATGCTTTAGAAAAGAGTCCTTAGAAGCAAAATAGGAAATCTGTATATACAACTTCCTCATTCATGTACATGTGTGTGATCAGAGTAGAGGATTAATTGCTTTAATGTCTTAGATCATTCCTACTTAAATATCTTCTATTTCTAATTGAGATGTGCTTGTCCTGTTATTTTCCTCATGTTGCCATACCTGCATTCACGCCAGTAAAAAATCTGCTGAGCATAATCATTTCAAAGGATTTTGCCATTCGGCTGAATCCTGACAAGACTGCAGCTATGATCACGAAGATGTTGTTCAGCAGCAGGGACATCTTCCTTCAGAGAGAAAAGACAGTTGTGAGCACATGTGTGTCAGATTTAGTTATCAGATAAAACATTTCACATGGCAGATCCAACCTGCCATGCCTGGAAGCTCAAGGTGGGGTGCTCAGCTCCACCACAGAACATCCTGGTTACCCAAATCCCTACATGAGGTGTCTGTGTACAGATGGCAGATCAGCAGTTTTGGTGTCTTGTTATGAAAGCAGGAATCAGCATTGATGGTAATCTGCATGGCTGATACAATGAGGGTCATCTCCAACTGCCAGCATGACCACAGGGTGTCCCTGTAGTGCTGACTTTAGACACACCATGAGGTCCTCACCCAGATTCATGGCTCTTGCACTCACTCACAGTTTCCCATTTGAATGGAGAGGAGTATTCAGTAAGTCGTGTGTGTTTTGGTCTGAAAATGCTAATTTGTTCAAACAGGCATTTTTCATGTAATAATACGATCTTTATAAAGCTTTTGTCAGAAAGTTTGCATGTGTCCCAGGAGGAATTTCTGTCCAAAACCAGGAAAAAAAAGAGAGATATCTATTGACCTGTAATAGCCAGTGATTCTCTCTAGTCCCAACTCATTGCCCTACCCACTCTTCAGAAGTCAGTCTTTTTTTCTCTTATTCATGATGGGATATGATTTTATTCTAAGGCAGTACAAGGTGAAATCTCTAAACTTTTCATTGGATAAGGATGCCATATCCTTTCCAGATCTTCACAACCATGAACCAAGTGAGCCATGGGAGACAGTCCTCCAGTCCCACCTCAAACCATAATGGTGTCTGCTTCATCACATAAGAGGAACAAACCAAAGTGATAGCACATCAAGGAAAATTTTGGGGTGAAGAGAGAGGGAGGCAAAATCTAACTTCCTATTAGTTTATGTCAGTAACGCTAACTGTTTTTTTCTGGAGAGAACTGGGAATAGAGCTGTGTATGAAAGATGGGTGAGGAGAGACAGGCATTTTTCAGACATTCAAGCACAGGGCAAAAAAAGCAACTGTGAAGATCTAACTGCCTCCTGAAATATTTCAGTCAACAAGGTGGATACACCTGTGAGATGTGAGGACCTGGGATGCAACAACTGCTCTTTGCAAACACCCTCTGGATTTTCTGTGTTATTCCTATCAACTGCCACCGTTAATTTTGAAGAAAAATCCTTGCTCTGTTCCATCATGGTTTCCTGTTAAAAAGGATGGCAGAAAACCGGGCACAAAAATGATGGTGATTATGTAGGTGGTTACTGTGATACGGAGTTGAGCTGAAATCCTTGTAGCACTCAAAATATGACAAGAAGGTAATATGGGGAAAAGAACTGCTCCCCGTTGGGTTTTGAGACGTGAAATACTGCCATATCTGGTAGTTTCTCCCTGCCAGCTCAAAATGATAATGGCAGACTGAGCTGTGATAGAAAACATGTTTTCATGTTTTTTAACTACAGTGGGCATTGTGCTTTAGGGCTCATAATTCCTCTTGGACTAATGGAAACTGCAAAGCTTAAACTAAAATCCAGCACCTTCTTACCTTCCCAACATGATGGCCATGGGACCAGCAACAACAGCCCCAGTGAGTCCTCCCAGAGGGTACGCAGAGACAGTGAAAGACCACAGCAGCAGTATCATGTTGCTCTCAAGGGGAACGCCTGTGCGCTCCAGCCAGGTTTCATTCATGAACGTCTGGATGTACTGAGAGGGAAGGACAGTGCTGCATAACCATGACATAGAGATGAAGGACACTGAGAAATGTGAAAGCTTCCTTATTAACATATCTGTTTATTCTGTGTTCATGCCTCCAAACCTTTGGTTGAAAATGGCCTCCAGTTCTTAGATGTGGTTTTAACAGAGGGTTAAGAGTGTAAAACTGTAGCTGTTGAAAAGTTGTACTTGGTTTATATCTGTATGTAGCTATCTTGGATAATTTAAAAATGTATTTAATGGGTCCAACTTGAAGGGCAAAAGTTGATTTCAAAGGATGCAGATTGGAAAATTTTAGAATTAGATTTGCTAAAGCAGTTGAACTAAGGCTTTTGAATAAATTCTTGTGACACTAGGTCCTGCTCAAGAGTGGCTTTTGACAACAACGTCCTGTACCTCAGATGTGAATTATACAGAGGGAACAACACATCCTTCTGTTCTAACCCTCCGTATTAGCAGACTGCATATTTTCAGTAGCCACTGTTTATAGCCAGACTGAGGACACCTGGGAAGTGTCTGTTTGTGGAGGAGGCTCTCAGACTAGCAGTACTTACTGAAGTTGGAGCATTGATGATGGAGATGTTGTAACCATATTGGAAAGTGCCTCCAATCCCAGCGGCACATATTGTCAGGATCAGGATCTTGCTCTGAAGCTGAAGAAGATAGATAGAAAATGCATGGCTTCCTTGCACAGAATACAATGGGTCAACAGACATTTGGTCCGTTCACACTTTGAGTAGTGTAAAGTGAAGAGCAGAATAGGCTATGAATGTTGTCGTAAAACAGGAGGGGCCAAAGGTAGAAACACTCCCCACCCCCCGCTCCGATTTGTAAACTATCTCCCTCCACTGCAGAATAGTATTAATAATTCATTGCTATTCACAAAGAATTTGGGACCGCTTTGGGGCAAAGGCCTACAAATGTCTTTGGTTTAATATTTAACATGTATGCTTACAAAAAGTCAGTGAAAAACCAGTAAATACTGGTAGAAACTGGTGTTATAGCTTCAATTAATTCAATTCATTACAAAAACCTGTACTCACATGATGAATTATTCAAAGAGCATTGCCAAAGTTTAATGACTTCTGCCTCATTTCTAGCTAAGCTCTATTGGACGGAGCTTCATTGTCGTATGGGGGATTTTCTCATGGCCGTTTATATCCAGTTCATTTCTGATTCACTGGCATTCTATTTCTTCTACCTTTTCCTGGTATGACACATATTTTAGTTTAAAATAGAGTGCCTTTCCTATGCTGCTTCACATGTTATACAGAGCAGACAATGTCTCTCTGCTGAACTTTCTCATTACACAGTTGTTCTTACATGTTCTTGCATTTAGCAGTCTACAATTTCATCTTCACCCAGAATGCTTTCTACATCTTCAGTATTATAATACAGGCGAAATATGTAGCAGACAGTGTGTCCTATGCCATGTTCTGGTCTCCTTGAGGTCATTTCTTCATCAGTATTGCCCATTGCTTATATTGCCATCTAAAACTGCTGCAATGCCTTCAAAAGCACAGGCAGGTGAATGGGGCTGTTTCATGCAGCATCACGAGGTCAGGGTGTTGGTATAAAAGTGAGGTCTCTTGCCTTTCTGGAGGGTGTAGAACAAGCTGTCCTGGCTGACACAGTACAGCAATTGAGAGCTCTCTGGCAGGCTTGTGAGCAAAACCCATGCATCTTTTTTCCCCTTGCAGTAGGACGAATGTTATAGTATAAGTGGGTGTCATACATCAGAACAACTCTGAGGCTAACTGTGGAAAGCCAGGAACAGTGTGTAGAAATTGTCTAAACAGTTTTGTTGATCTTTCCTCCTCTGTAATATTTGTAAGCCTCAGGTCATTCTTGCCACTATTGCCTGGACACTTTCCTCTGTGACTCTGCCTTCAAATTCACCTACAGCTTCTGTAGAGGAGGACAGCTGAGTGTGAGCAGCACCATGTCTCCATGTTCACCTCACCATCAGTGAACATCCCTTCCTTGTTGCAGCCACCCCACCCCGTTGGTTGGTCTCTCTCCGTCATCCCCCCATCCTTGTCAGTTCACAACTATTTTGTGCCTGTGCCTTTGGTTTCCCTATCCATGTGTGAGATTCTGTGACTGGCAAGCTGTGCCCTGACAGTGTCCTTGGACTGGGAGCACTGTCGCGTGTCTCAAGACCACTCTAAGCTTGCTGGGGGCCCCTGGCCTTTAGCCTGACACATCCTGCACAACGTCCTGGGTGGCCCAGGGCCAGGATGGCCTTTGCCAGCACCCTGCTTGCAAACTCCTCCCAGTGGGACAGCTCAGCAGGTGACATGAACAGCCCATGCTCAGGCTTGGCTGTTCACCAGTTAGTCCAGGGCACCTCAGGCTACATTGTGTTTTCCTACATGAATATGACTACATTGACCCTGAGAAGAACTTAGATAAACCAATGGTGGGGAGCTCTTTCAGCTCTACCTGCTCATTTGCTTCTTACAGAGCCATCTACCAAAGAAAAGGAAAGCTGTGTCGAGTCTCCCAGTAGCTCTTAAACCACAAATTCAAATAATTTTATATTTTTCCTTTCCTCAAAGCCTTTTCTTGTAAGTAACTTCCACAGCAGCCTGAGACAGGATGTTCTCCCAGGACAGAAATGAAGCCAGACTGTTCCAACCTTGCAGCAAGAAGAGGCTGAGCTCTGTCCTGTCCCAGTTAGAAGTGGCTACGTTTCACTTGCTTGCACTTTCCTTGGCTACACCACTTCCCTGTCTTGTTACTGAGACCTGAGCTAAGGATTGTGCACCTCATATCTCTGCTCTTTCCAGCTATTCCAGTTCTCCCAGTGAGAGAGCTTTCCTCTCCCTACAATAGCACGTTTCTTGTTTTTTAATCACAACGCCTAGGGATGTAACACCCCTCCTGCTCATTTCCCTGCTTTCGTTATAGAGTACATTCCCCATCAGGTCCTGTATCACAGAGCTCTTTTGTGGCCATGGGCTCAGGCAAAATGGTTTGCTCCTCCCTTTAGGAGCCACCAAACAGTTCTGTGCTCAGAGATGAGCTGAATTTACAGGCTGACATTCCCAAACTTTCCTTAACACCCTGTTTCTGCACTATTGTCTCAGCCGCTGTGGTGGCATGCAGCTGCCAGGAGAGCCATTAGTCTGGCAGCTTTATCCCAAGGACTGTGATGAGTTAGACAAATAATTCTACAAGAAACTGATAGTATTTACACAGCCTTATAAAAATTAAAATTAAAAAATTGATCTGTCAACAATAATAGTAAAATAGATGTTTTTTACCAGTCTCTGCAGCTTGTTCATCCTCTTTGGTAGGTTTTCCTCTGTCTGCCAAAGCCTCTGGTACTCTCAGCAGTGCTCTAAAGGATTATTTAAATCTCCAGCATAGGAATGTGTATTTAGTCACCCATTACATTAGGATAAGACACTTGACTTGGCAGGTGTTTTGCCAGCTGATTTACATTCTCAAAAGGGGGCTGCACTTTCATTAGCAAGAGAGTTCAATTAATTTTGTTGAAAGTACTTGACAGTTTGGGGAAATGATTCTGCAAGATCCAGAGCTGTCTAAAGCCTCTTGAAGGGCAGTATGGTTTACGGCATAAATTACCTCTCAAAGGGTCTGGCACAGTTGCCCAGTAGCACTTGTCTGATTAAGTGTGATCAAAGCAGCTTTTATTCTGACTGTATTTGTTCTGAAACCCTATCTAGAATCTGAAAGACAAACCAGGCTATTTCCCTTTGTCCTGTCAGTGACAGAAATGAACAAAGCCCAAACCTTTCAAATCCCTTGTTATGCCAACCCGTTCGCTGTCCTCCTGTCTATGTCCTGGTGACATACAGGCAATCCAGCTGTTGCTGACAAGGGACTGTACACTGATGCACAGAAGGCTACAGCCCAGTTCCCGCTTCATAGGCTGGCACAGAGCAAACAGCAACACTTACAGCACTCAGTTTTGTCACCAATCATCTCTGGCTTTCATTTCACAGGAGGCAGAGGGCTTTGCTTTTACATATACCATGTGACTTTTTTGCTTTTAAAGTGCATAATACATAATATGTATTACGTTATATATTATGGTTAGGACTAGATGATCTTTAAGGTCCCTTCCAACCCAAACCATTCTATGATTCTATGATATTAAAGTGCATGGTACATAATATGTAATATATCTACATAATATGTAGCATTGCAGGTAAACCTAGTGCTGAGGTGTGCATAGGAGAGGAGGCTGCTTGGGGGAATAACGAGTATCTGATCAAAATGTTCTCAGCTCATTTTGAGTTGTCACACCCTCTCACACAGTATTATCCTGCAGTTCTTTAAGCCTTGTTCTCCCTACAGCCTCAGAAGGTGGAGGGAAGAGCCCTTCTGAGGGCAATGGGGGCTGATCAAACCAAGGACTGTAACTGGTTTTGCGCTTTGGGAAATATTGATTAAGGAATCAACTGAGTTTCACCATAGTTGTTCACAGAGGCATGGTGGAGGAGCCTTTGTACAATGGATTTATGGTCACACCTTGGGAGTACAAAATTGAAACTCAGTTATTTTTTAATATCTTGGTTAAAAATTAAATAACTCTATGTAGTAGAAGCCCCTCTTCTACCCTCGAGAGGCTCCATCTAAATTCTAATGAGTTGAAAAGGTTTCATCCCACTGCAATAGTGGGTTCTTCAGTGACTTTTCATCTTTGTCTTTTGGCTTATCTTTCACTAGCATGTCAGTTTTATATTCTTCCCTTGTTAACTATGCATCATTTAATCAGGACAGAGTAGCTGACAGGCCTTGTGTAATGGGTTTGGCTCAAGTGGTCGGTGCTTATTGTTCCAGAAATGGTTCCCTTTTCCATATAAGCTGCAGAAGACAGCAAGGCAGCAGTAACAGCAATGACAAGCTTGCTTCCTTCTGTAAAACAGAAAGGCACTCTCCAGCAGCGAGAAATGGGTGTATACTCATGAAACCTGGAGATGGGGCCCAGTGGAGATGGAGGCATATTGCATTGCCAGCAATAATAGCAAAGCTGCTATTTCACAAAATATCTGGCCTTTAGGAGTAATCATGGTATTTTAACATCCTTTCATGCTGCAGAGTGCAATTTGTGAGGGGCCTGACAGATTTTAAAGTATTCAAAATAAGTGAAACTTCTTTTTTTAAATTCCTTTGTCCCTACTCAGGTTTACCACACCTGAATGGAAATATAAACCTGTTCCATATCGCAGAAGTATTCTCTTATAAATGTGCTAAGTAGGGATGTGGTGCTGCATCAGCTGCAGCCACTAAGTGGCAGGAGAAGTACAAAATTTCCTGTATTAGGCTCTCAATCCAACATGCCAGCAGTTGGCTGCCTCTGGCATGTGGCAGGGATCAGAGAACTACTTCTAACAGCTTCCTAAACTATAACTTGTTCACTGGGGAAATAGACGTTAACTATATGTAACTGTACAAGTTAACAGTGACTGAAGTATATTTTAGGCAGCATGTATCAAGAAGAGTAATACATGCAAAAAGGAAAGCTCTAGTTTCTTCCGGCTGTCTATTCTGAATGAGATCAGGCTTGGGGAGATCTCTTCCAGGAAGAAAAACACATATTCTGTACTAGGCAAGAGCTTTCTCCTTTTTCCTAGCATCTTATAAGTAGGAACCACCTAGTGCAGGTCTTTGTGCCCTCAGGTGATGGCATACAGGAGTTTCAGCCTTGCGGCTACCAGTGTACCTGGTTGTTCTAGTCACTAAGATGTGTCATAGGAGCCTTTAAGAGATTATTCCATTTCTAGCTCCTTAAACAGAGGCAAACATGTCAAAACATGTCTCTAGTTGGATAAGAGGCGAAGGAATGCAGCTTACCCAGGCAGTCTGGTCTCCATCCGTTCCCTGGGCATGAATACCACGAATCTGATCCATCTGTCTCATTTCTGTTGCAGTCAAACACAGAAATATATCTTTCTACAGTGACCTGGTCAAGGACTGCCTGCTTAGACCAATCCATTGTCTTATTTTTCCAAGGCAAATATGTGCACATTCTTCTATTTAACAGAAGATTAAGACAGTATTTATCACAATCCAAAGGAAATCCTAGAGGCACTGGACACCAATGCACAAGGGCAGGTGTTTGCATCTTCTGCTGGGCATCCCGATGGCTTTCCTCGAGCATCTGCTCATTTCACCTCTACCTTCTGATCTGGTTTCACCTGGGATAGAGCTAATTTTCTTCCTAGTAGCTGCTGTATTTCAGATTTAGTATGAGAATAATATTGATAACACATATTGGTTTAGTTATTGCTAAGTAATGCTTATATTAAGTCAAGAACTTTTTCAGCTTCCCATAGAAGCTGAGAGGGAGCATAGACAGGACAAGCTGGCCACAGGAGTATTCCATACCATAGACATCATGCTCAGTATATAAATGGGGGCTGTCCTGGAGGCAGGGATCCACAATCACTGCTCTGGATGGACGGGCTGTGCAATTGATCGTTGGGTGGTGAGCAATTGTATTGCATCAAAATTTTTGTATATTCTTTTACTATTAGTATTATTAGTCTCTCTTCCATTACTGTTCTATTAAACTGTCTTTATCTCAACCCATGAGGGGTTTTTTTTTGTTTCCTTTTTCTCCCTCCTCTGCATATGCTACTGGGGAGGGATGCAGGGGGAAGTGAGTGAATGGCTGCATGGTCGTAGTTGCCAGATGGGTTTAAACTACAACACCTTCCCTGAACTCTGCAGTTACCTTCTCCCTTCAAAATCCATTCCTAGTGCTTTTATGTGGGGGTTAAACCAGAGACCTTGCAAGCTGTGCAATGAAGAGAAGCAACTGCCTATGGCAGTCTTGTGTCAGAGAAGGGAAATAGCAGGTGAGCTTATGACGGCTCCAAGAGATGAGTGAAGCTGTGCAATGAAGAGAAGCAACTGCCTATGGCAGTCTTGTGTCAGAGAAGGGAAATAGCAGGTGAGCTTATGACGGCTCCAAGAGATGAGCGAAGTCCTGCGGGTAGGCCGGGAGGTGCTGTTGGACTGTAGCACAGGCTGTTGACAAGCCTCTCTGTTCCAGAAGCGGCATAAATTGGCTGTTGCTGTGGCTGGATTTGTGTGTGCAGCTGGCTAGCTGGAAGTGGAAGTTCCTGGAGGTTGTGCTCTGTCTTTTCTAGTAACAGCCGCCTTGATGAGGAGTGGACAGATAGATTTTTTTCTTCTATGTAGCATCTATATGAGTTATGCTTTGGTGCTGACAGGTGTTCACATCGGTCGTGTTTCTAACTGTCTTCCTGCTGCATCTTCAAAATATGTCTTTCCCAATGTTCAGTCCTTAGGATGAGTTCTCAGAATTTCAGACTCGCAGTTGGTGTAGATGAGAAATCTCCAGTTTTGGTGTCTGTCACCAGGGTATAACCACCGCACTGCAGGATCTCAAAGGCCTGGCTTTGGAAGCCTTCACATAAACCCAGCATGTTTCCAGCACCACCGCGGGGACCTAACC